CTAGGTGAGACATTATATGATGTGCACACCTTTAACAATGTCTTATGAGTTGTGAAGGGACAATCTCTTATGCAATGAAAATCTTAAGCCCTGTTTGGTTTGCGTTTCAAAAAATAATATTCAAAAACTATTTTTGGGAAGAGTTTTAGAAAACTTATTTTTGGTTTTTTTTGTGTTATAGAACTTGTTTAATTATATGATTTCAAAAATAATTCTACAGAATAGAAAATAATAAAACTTGTTTGAACAGTAACTACGAAAACAATGAAAACAAAAATATAGTGGTGGAGGTGGTGGTGGTGGAAGTGTGATGGTTGTCGAGGTGGGGGAAGTGTGGTGGACGTGGTGTTTTCTAAATTATGAAAAGTTTGTTTCTAAAAATACACAAAATAGCTCTAACTTGTTCTTCAAATCTACCCAGTTTTTGTTCTCAAAAAAACAAAAATAAAAGACTACTGGTCAAATAATTTTTCTCTTAGAAACTGTTTTCGAAAACAAAAAACAATTTTTGAGATGTAAATCAAACAGGATCTAAATATTTGTAAGTAGCAATGTCTAACACATTTATGGTTTTAGAGGTATCTTCTATTTTTTTCTCAATGAGATCAGTGGAACTGTGTATTATATAGTCCAATTCATACATAATCCCAAAACTCATGCTGTAGTTGAGTTATGGATAAAATTGAAAACGTTTGTCTTCAGCAAATTTACATGGTATTGGATGATACTTCCTGATAGTGTATTGTTTAAGTTTCTTCTAGTTTCATGTGCTCACCCCTTATTAGCTGCATATGTTATTCATACCATAGTAATTTGAAAAGTGATTGAAGCATCACAGAAGTTCCTTTTGGGGAAGGTTTACTGTCTGTCTCGTCAGATTGTCTACCGTCATGTCTTTAAAAATGGATTCATGTATAAGTGGTGAGATGTTTCTGGGTTAACCATGGTGGCGAAATACTGTTTTTCTTCAACATTTGAGGAACTGGACTCAAGCGGCTGATGGAAATAGACTGACTACCGGAGATATTCGTGTTACTTCGTCTGCACTGATTTGTACACGAATGCGTGAGTTATACTGAGTATTTAGTAAATTATAGACCACTTCAAATCTTCGTTTTTGAGAGGGATGATGAACTCCGCAAATATTNAATAGACTGACTACCGGAGATATTCGTGTTACTTCGTCTGCACTGATTTGTACACGATTGCGTGAGTTATACTGAGTATTCAGTAAATTATAGACCACTTCAAATCTTCGTTTTTGAGAGGGATGATGAACTCCGCAAATATCAATCGAAACTTGAACCCTTGTATAGGTATGGGACTGAGGTTCGGCAGGCCCCTGCTCAGGGTGGGGGACATTAACAACCTCTACGCCAGCTCCAGGTGGCCCGAGGCTCAAGTTAAGATCCAGTTCCCCGTGGCCCGCGCATTCCACAACCTGGATACCCCCTTTCCCCCCTCCCCCCTGGCGTAAAACCCAATCCAGATGATAGTAAGAAAGATGGGCAAAATTATTTCGATAGTAGTTCCAAGTTCCAACCTCTACTTTGCCAGATTTTCTTATTTAATCGCGGAAATATTCAGTATCAATAAAATTAGCTTTTACATGGCTCTCTGGATGCCATGATTCTTCTACTTTATATAGTCATTTCAAGAAGGCCCAAAATTATGGGGTTTTGCCCACAAAGTCCTTCGAGGGTAAAGGTTTCTCTGCTAGTCACCTTGTTTCAGTTGGATCGTGTCCACATCTTTTAGAGATGGTCTGTGAACTTGAGAGTTTATGCAGTATAGAACTTGGCAGTAGTGTGATATTAGGTGGAATTTGTTCTCATTTATACAAGTTATAGCCTGATACTGAAGTGTCATGGAGAGTTATTAGCATTGCTTAATTTGGAATGGCATGAGCTTTTTAGATCTGTTTTAAGCATATGCGGTGGATGGTGTGACTAGTTGGCTTGTTTTTACAATAAAGGTAAATTTGGATTTTGGAGTAACGATGGGAGAGCTACCGGTTGTTTAATTTCTCTTAATACATTTCAACATGTGCATGGAATATTTGATATAGTCACCACTAGAATATCTCCACTTGAAGAACTGCTTATACAGCTAGATTCTGAAGAGATACTTGGTAAAAGGAAATCCCAAATTCTGATTTAGAATCTTAAAGGGAAATTTGAGGAATTTCCTGAACTCTCATCAAAATATTCCCTAGTTTGATATACAGAGAATGCTAACTTCAGAAACTTGTTTGAAAATCTCAAAAAATAATAAACAAATAAATAGATAAACAATATCATACAAGAAACTCTTATGTAATTCAAAGGAGGCATATTTGTCTAAGCCATCGCATGGACAGTTGAGTCATTGGTCTAAATTCGATTATACTTTTGTTACGATAAAGAAATATGGTGTCCAAGAATTTTTTAGAAGGTGTATTGCATAAAGAGTTGTTGTGACGATAAATTATTTAGAAGCATCCTCATACCGGTCATTTTTCTACTTCTAATCGATATTTCCATGGAACATTAGTACTATATTTACTAATTATGCATACAAAAAAGAAAGTGGTGCTTTTATTACTTACAAAAATGAGGATGCAAATGTTTGTCATATTCCGGTATTTAACTTGAACTTTTCCTTTGTTGCACATGGATTGCTTTTCAACATTGTGATAACAAATTGTCATGGCCCACATGATGGTCCTACCAAATTTTGGTGTTGGAGTATAACAAGTGTAAATGATATGATGAGTATCAAATTTTGAATTGAATTTCAACTATTAGTTGCTTCCATTTTATTAGTTGTAGAGGAAGTTGTAAGCAATGTTATTAGTTGGTTGAATTGATAAACTTTTTTCCATTTTTCCCTTTTTACATTAAGTTCTTTCTATAGCTAAAGATACGGAGTTGTATTCAGCATGGAATGCAAAAAAGAGCAGTTTTAGAACTCATCTTCCCTTTGTATGATTGCTGACTAGACATTTCAGTCAACTTTTATACAGGGTTGATACTTCAGATTTTTTTCCATATTGAAAATAGTTGTCAGTTATTCCATTCATAATTACGGAAAAACTCTAATATTTAATGTAGTTGGTAAGCGTGAATAGCGAGTACACAACTATTAAAGCATTGAATTTATAGCGAAGATGTGGTGGAGAATGTGAATTTTCCAAGACGTAGGGTAGTGCAGTGGGAATGTGCTTGGGCATGCAACCATAATGTTGTAAGTTCAAATTTTAGGGCAACAACTCTGTGCATATAATGCCAAAAAATTAGTTCCATACCAGTCCACCCACACAAGACCATCAGTTAACAGGACCAAACTTGGGAATGATCTTTATGACTTGGAACTTGTATAATTCTAGAGAGAAACTTCTAGGTTCTCTTATATCAGTTGTGCTAATCTTAATGAGGCATATACATTTTGAGTGATTGCCATCATTAGTTGAAGTAAAGTGAGAGGCAGAGGTCCTTAAGCCAAGTATTGATAAGCGCCTAAGGGATAATACTTAGATTGTATGATGATCAAAACTTTGACGGGCAGTGGAAACTGACTTTCTATTCTCCTATAAGTATTATTGTTATTGATCACCAACTGTTGACAGTGATTAAGGGATGCTGAAATTATAGAAAGATCAATTTTTGCCTTTCTGTGTCATCTTGCTGTGTGCTGCTCTTGGGATGCAATTAATGCTGCTGGATTATATGGTTCAAATAACCGGAGATATTTTAGGCTAGATCCTCAATATGCTGTAGGGACCTGAATACACAAGGGACGGTCAAGGTTGGTGGGAAATCGTATTATTCATAATGAAGAAAATGCATGCAAATGCTCTTTTGGTATTATTGGGGCATTAAGTTGCAAGATCCCAAAATATTTCTTCGAGAATAACTAATAGAGTACATGTCAATATGCCACATATGGAATTTTTTAATGTCCTGTGGCCTATGTTTAGTGAATTAATTTACTAACAACTTGTGATAGCACGAACTTTTGAAGGTTCTCTAACAATTTTATAAGAGGGATCATGAGGGTTTTGAAATATCTACCGTCTGACGGGTATTCATCACATCTTAAACATGATGATGTCTTNTTCTCTAACAATTTTATAAGAGGGATCATGAGGGTTTTGAAATATCTACCGTCTGACAGGTATTCATCACATCTTAAACATGATGTCTTCNGGTTCTCTAACAATTTTATAAGAGGGATCATGAGGGTTTTGAAATATCTACCGTCTGACGGGTATTCATCACATCTTAAACATGATGATGTCTTCCTTTAATGTCAGGTGCACAAATATCGGGAAATGAAAAATCTGCTTACCAAGTGTGTGCATCTTTGTATTTGCACATGTGGGCATAAATTATTATGGGAATCTATTTTATAGGATGATTCGGACAGAGTTGCGGGCTTTTGGGGAAGTTTGCATTATCCTATCATTACTATGAGGCCAAGGCAAAGAACGAGTTCTGCCAATATAAAGACTTGCCAGTTCTCTCCTAACCCAAAGCACTTTCAGGCATCTTTCTGATCATATTATTGTGCAGATTGTTTTTGACAGAAACCAAATGTCGTTCACTTTGAAAGGGCATCTCTGGTAGAAATCTGTGAGACTTCTAGTAAATCTAAATTCCGTGGCATTATGTTGTACCTTTCTTGTTGCCCGGATATTTCAAATTTCTAATCAATATGCGGCTCTGGCGAGCCCTAAAAGTTCGTTTTAAGGGCATCCTGAAGTATTTTATGCTGCTCTTTAGATGCATTTGGGCTTCTTTATGTGTTGATTAGTTTATCTATTTTTTTCACCGTGGTGTAGATGTTATTTTGTGAATTTGTTAATTGCTTTGCCAATGAGTAGTGTGGCTTGACAAGCTTATTTTTCTGTCCAAGGTTTTTCTTTTAATTTTTTTCAAACTGCTGTGGATCTACTATTTTATGATCCTGTAACTTTTGTAACTCAATTGAATGTCCTCATGTTTTTGGCTGTCATTCCAGAACAAAAGCTTTTGGATGCCAAGAGATGTTGGGTGTCTAACTGATGGAGAGATGGGTTATGATACTCCCTCCAGAATTGAACCAAAGCGTGCTCATCAACGGTCTTTGGATGTTTCTGAGCAAGAACTATTTAGCAACAAGAAGCAAGCAACAGAAACCATTAACTGCAGATCCTTTCCAGGGACTTCCAATGTGAATATTTCCCTAAGGGATAACACTTGTTTCCAACCATTTTTAGAGCAGTATGGCAACCGCCTATTTGGATATGAACCCCTTCGGACTTTCAACCTTCCTGAGAGGAACATATCCTCTGTTGGGTCTGGAAATTTGCATATGGAAAGAAGGAATTTTGAGAATCAATTTGGAAATGATTGCTTGGACAGTTTATCTGCTTCTCATGCAATGGAAGATCCCTCATGTCTCAGTCATGGTAGTAAAAATGTTAGAGTCAATCAAGTCCGAGATTCTGATAATAGTATGTCAATATTGATGGGGCACTTTCCTGGTAGGGAAGATAATAATGCAATTTCAGTGAGCAACACATATAGTAAGAGTGACAACACCATAGCATTGGGACCAACTTATAGCAGTGGAGAGGGGAAAACAATTCCAATCAATCCCATCTTCAATAAAGCCAGTGAAAATCTCATCTCAATGGGTTGCACTTTTAGTAAGGGAGACAACACTTCCATGTTGATGTGTCATAATTATAACAAGCGAGACAACAGTATCTTACTGATGGGGCAGCCCTTTGACAAGTTGAATGGCAATTTCACATCAATGGATCCGCAAAGTGAAAAGGCATATGGCAAAATCATATCAACAGGTGCTGTCTACAATATGGGGCATGAGGAGTTGATATCAATTGGCCCCACCTACAACAGGGCCAGTAAAAATTTTGTTTCAGTGGATCCTGCTTATGATAAAGGGGATGGGAATACCATCTCAATGGGTTCAACCCATGATAAGGCGTGTACCAGTGCTGCATTAATGCGTACCGAGCATGACAAGGAAGATTTTAGCAACTTATCAATGGGTCAGAACTTCAACAAGGATGAGGGTTTGACCATGTCTTTTGGAAGCTTTCAGGATAATCATGAGGCAAATTATGCCTCTGGCAGTATCATTAGGAACTGTGACTTTTCAATTAATCAACCCTCGGTTGAAGCTCCAAAAGAGCCACAAGGTCCAGGACAGAAAGATTTGGTGGAGTATTATTCTGGTTCAATTTTAATTGCTGATCCAGCGGTTACTCCTATCACTGATACCGTTACCAGGAATAAGGAGCCGAAGACACCTAAGAAGTCTCCTCCAAATAGCTTTCCATCAAATGTCAAAAGCTTGTTATCAACTGCTATACTTGATGGAGTTCCTGTGAAGTATGTTTCCTGGTCGCGGGATGTGAGTTCTAAATAACACTATATTCCTCTTGGTTGAATGAGTTCATGCTTTTATTTTCCTGAGCTTGGCTAAATTTTTATGCATGCAGAAGAACCTTCGAGGGCTTATAAAAGGGACTAATTATTTGTGCGGATGCAAGGACTGCAAGTTCTCCAAAGTAAGCAATTTCACTTTTCATTTTAAGACATTATTTTCTTGAAGTGAGATTCCACCATAGAATGCTTTATCTGATTCTTATAGTGTAATGATTATTCATCTTGTTTTATGCAGGCCCTCAATGCTTATGAGTTTGAGCGTCATACTGGTTGCAAGACAAAGCACCCAAATAATCACATTTACTTCGAGAATGGAAAGACCATTTATTCGGTAGTCCAAGAGCTGAAGAGTACTCCTCAGGAAATGTTGTTCGAGGCCATTCAAAATGTAACTGGATCTCCAATCAACCAGAAGAATTTCCAAATTTGGAAAGGTGATTCACTTTTTCTTCAAGTGTATTGGCTGCAAGTTTTTCAAGCAAGCATTGGAAGTCTGTTTTATTCACCTTTTTCAACGTGATGTGATTGAATAATAAACAATTTTCAATTCTCTCAAATAAATTTCCTTTTCTCTCTCTTCTCAGCATCATTTCAAGCTGCAACCCGTGAACTTCAGCGTATCTATGGAAAGGATGAAGTAGTCATGCCATCTTGATATGAGTATTCTGCTGCTTCCATATTTAAAAGGTTGGTTAATACCCAATCTGTGCATAAACTGAATCGTAGCAAATTTATTGGAATTTTAGATGGTTAAGCATGTGAATGCTGCTTCTGATTTTACTTGGATTTTTCCTTAATACCCGAAATTATTATTCTGGGATTTGAATTTTGGAAGCAAGCATTATGCTTTGAAAGTAGGTTTCATTAACTTTACATGGATTAGATATCAATGTTTGGATGAAGCAATTAAGTCATTTTCCTTGTGATCTATTATTGAGTGGTGGGGTAGGAGCTGGGGATTCAGAACATTTTGTGTTCATGGTGATTTTAGTGGCTTTAGAGTGTCATGAGATTTTTGATCGTTACTCCTGTTCCACCATAATCAAGAACAATTCCTCAGTTAGCAGCGCTGCCTAGCTGAAATATTTTAGATGGCAATGTTGTTACAGGTGATCTCTCCACATCCGAGTTGCAAATCTTATCACAAGGATTTGTGTTTAACATTGTAACGCACAGACTTGGCCGNATGTTGGTACAGGTGATCTCTCCACATCCGAGTTGCAAAGCTTATCACAAGGATTTGTGTTTAACATTGTAATGCACAGACTTGGCCATGAATTGGTTGGATTAGGGCAGCTTGCACTGGGGACAAAGGCACTAATTGGTGGCAGCAGGCAGCTACAATAGTTAAATTAGGCAATTGATTGGACAAATGCCAAGTTTGGTTTAGTTACTATCCTCTCTTTATTTTATGGGTTCTTAAGGAGAAATTCAGGTGGTGTTATCCTTTGTTGTTATCCTTTGTGATCGTTCTTTGGCTTATTCAGTATGATCCATTAAGACAAATGAAGGGCACGGGAGAATTTCAGTCCCAAGTTTGTTTTGGCTTACATTAAGTGCTAAATGCTGTAGGTTTGCATGACTCCAGGCCTAGCAAAATGCTTGAGACAAATTTTCACTTCTCTCCTTTGTTTTTTCTTTTTTGATAGACAATACATGCTCATCCATTGGGCCTTCATCATGCACTTCCCTGTTTGCTAGTGGCAGAAAATAGCTCAAGCTAATCACACCCATTTCTGTGGCCCATACATAAAAACTCTCTTGATCATGTGTCCAACGAAAATATGATATGCTCTTGCTTCATACATGTTGGTTGCTCTGGAAAATGTTCCAGTTTGCTTTCCTTTATTTTCTGTAACCACGGAAGCATCATATGCTTTTACTTTCGGTCTCAAATGACAGAATTTGTTTTTCAAATCTGTGGGATCAGTTCTATGGCCCTTGAAAACAGTATCAGATTGGAAGAGTTTAAGGAGAGTCTTTCCGTATAGTCTAATCATGAGCCTTGCCATGTAAACAAAACTGAGAAGGTCCTAGAAGTTGACTGAAAAATGAGGTGAATTCCACAAGCCTTGAGTGTCTCCAGACGAATCCTTTTCTTCTCATATTCTCTGATCATATCTGACCAAGAAAGGTTGTCATAATTTTTGGTCTGCCACATCACTTGCTGTATCACGTGTTTTGAATTTTTGATGAGCAAATGAGGTTGTCCTTTGAGGCCCCAGCATTGCATATTTAGGCAAGGCTAGTGCGATTGAGCTCACAGTTAAGTGCGGGGAGTGGGCCTTTAGAATTAAGTGTGTTTGTGCTGGAGGAACTCTTTCCATTGTGCAGGCTGAATGCTTTCATACCGCTGCGAATCCAGATTTTTGTCTACCTACTTTTTCGATGCCAATCTAATGAGTGTTAATTCATGACCATTCAGAACTACCGGTAAATTCCGATCTTGCAACTTTTGTTGATATGCATAGCAGAAGTGTGGCCCCTATAATGTCTCATCTCTTCCTTGTGCAGAAGTGGATATTTTGGCTTGTAAATTTTATTATAGATCTGATAGAGTCTCCTAGGCTGTTCCTGTTCATAATTCAACCTTTACAAGTAGCTCGTCATCGTCCACACCACTCCCCCAAACCCCCCCCCCCCATTAAATAAAGAAGGAAAAATAGCAACAACACTTCTTCTAGTTTATTATATCTTTAAGGACATTCCTTCTATTATCAAAAACATCACTGACACACCTTCTACTTTATATTTAAACATCACTGACATCTCTTGCCATTAAACTAACATTTATAACAAAAATAAATTATCTAAAATACTAAAATTGTCCCTACATAAATTCCAAACAATTTTTTTACATAAAATTTGATTAAAATTTGTTTTTTTATATATTAAATTCAAGCTGATTAAAATTCTTTTTTTTTGTTACGTATTAAAATTTGAGTTGATTAAAATTTGATTCGATCTAATTAAATGTTATTTTTTTTATGTATTAAAATTCGAGTCTATTAAAAGTCTTTTTTTATTTATTAAAATTCGAGTCAATTTGAGCTCTACTTGAGCTATTAGTTTCAATTAAAATTTGCTTAAACTCGATTAAAATTTATATTTTTTTTATTTATTAAAATTCTATTCAAGATGGTTAAAATTTATTTTTTATTTATTAAAATTTGAGTCAATTAAAAAATATATTTTAATTTTTAAAATATATCATGGCCTATCTAGAGGGGTTGTGAATAAAGTTTTTTTAAATATATCATTGACAATTTAGTAAAATTACATTTTAATTAACATCTTTAATCTGATAGGGAGTATTAGTGAAGATTCAGAAAATAAAAGGGATGTCCTTGAAGATAAGATAAACTAGAAGGGGTGTGACTGAATTTTTTCCAATAAATAATTTCACTCAGTAGTCANTTTTAATTAACATCTTTAATCTGATAGGGAGTATTAGTGAAGATTCAGAAAATAAAAAGGGTATCCTTGAAGATAAGATAAACTAGAAGGGGTGTGACTGAATTTTTTCCAATAAATAATTTCACTCAGTAGTCCGACCTAGAGTGATGGCAGTTGTTTATCAGAGATTCAAGTTAGGCTGGTTGTCACTTCTCTCAAACCCTGCTACAAATGGGAATCTTATTCGCCATGTCCTATTGGTTGCATGAGCTTTTAGTACAGCTCATCACCAGTGTGTGGAATAAGGATTTTCTTTGTTTTTCTAGTTCAAAAGACAGTGAATAGATCTGCAGGGGTTTCCTCTGGTGAAGCAGATGTTGGCTTAGTTTCATTTAGTATAGCTTGATTAAATCAGGAAGGGTAGTATTGTCATTCAAGCATATCATACCACAGCAGTGAAACAACTGGATTTGATGCTTGATTTAATTATTTACTTCCAGTTAACATAATCCGATATCAATGACATTTCCACTCTGGGAAACAAGGTGGATTTGAGGCCAGGAATGCAGTTGCATGCCCTGTCAGGAAGCACTAGATTTACCCTGCACCACTGTGATGTGAAATTAATATAAAAAGCCACTCATTATTTTGATTTTGGTGGTGAATAATAATTATTTATTACCACTATTAAGGCTTTTTAAGCAGGCAGGTATTGCTGAATAGTGAACTGATTGTGTGCAAATAATAAGTATATGCAAAGCTTTATCCAGTCTATCACCCATTAATGAGGACTAAAGTGGGTATTATTTCTTTTTAGGGAAGCATACTACTAGCATCATTCTTGTTTATTTATTATTATTATTATTATTTGGTTAGGATAGCATCGTATGTAGGCAAAAACATCTTTCTAGTCTATTTCATATGTAGTAATGGACATTTACATCGAGAAATTAGAGAGTAGAGCTTGCGCAAGATAATGCCTATGTCTGCTATCAGGGAAAGCTTTGCGGCTCTTTATGATTCCCTACAAAGAAAAATAACAAATAGGGAAGTTATAAACCTGGATCAGGTTACATGCCAACTTATTCCCCTTCAGAATGACTAGTTCCTAGCTTGTTAAAGACCAGTTCCTCATACAGCTTCATGGGGATGTATTGCTCCTGAAACATCAAGAATTTCATGATTTGCAGTCTTCACGCCACCATTTATTGTATTGATTTGTTTGTCAATAGGTTTTATCTGATCACCGTGTGACTTGGATATACTTTGATCCTTGCTCTTTCCCCATATGACAGTGTATAGACCAACAACTATGGTGACAGCTCCAAGAACCCTAGAGGTTATAATTTGGTGATTTCTGTCAGCCTGCTGTATTAAAATTCTGGAATTAGATCTATGATTTGGAGGATATCGAATTCTACATACCTTCCCAAGTCCATTTGCTCGGCTAAAATGAAGGAGCCCATAACTGCTACGATAACCATGCATAGAGGATTAAACAATGTGACAAAAACTGGTCCTTTCACCTTTATTATTAGTCCCGACACATAATAACTTACTCCTGAAGCAATAATTCCCTGCATCCAAATATAATCTTTGTGAAATATATCTATCAGTTTTAGCGTGTGATATTAGTGCTTTTTGGATTATAGGAAACATACCTCTAGTTTCGTACAAAAAAGATATATGATCCGGTGGAAAATTATGCTAGGTCATATAAAGGTTATCATTTGTTGTTCAAATATTTTCTTGGTCCTGGGGCTGCACCTTTAAACTGGACAAAAACCTGGACGAAGGTGGGATTTGATCCTAGCTCTTTAGGACGACTATAAAAGATTTATCAGATAGATTATTTTCAGCATGCTTATATATGGAAACTGTTATTCATCACTGGAGTCACCCCTGATAGGTTGAGAGTTTCTTACACAGTAAAGAGCAGCCAAGAATGTAGAATCCCACTTTATGTACCAGACTGCGGTGTTGCCCCTTTCAACGACAAGGGTCAGTATAGTGCCTTGCATCGCGCCCGTCATACATACCAAAGATGTGAGGGTNGAATGTAGAATCCCACTTTATGTACCAGACTGCGGTGTTGCCCCTTTCAACGACAAGTGTCAGTATAGTGCCTTGCATCGCGCCCGTCATACATACCAAAGATGTGAGGGANACATTTGTTTATGCTCTTCTAAAATCCAACTTGCCTGGACAGTGCTTGATTTCGTGCAGGCTTTACAGATTTAACTTCCCCAATTTAAGACGTATTAGGGGTATTTTGGTCATTTTTGTATAATAATCAGGAATATATCTAGGCTTTAGAAATATGTGATATGCATCTTCTGATGTAATGCATGCCTACTGTTTTGGNGTGAGTGCAGCAGGGTAGGACTTCAGTGTAATTGCCTACAAACAGACACAGTTATCTTCTTCTGGCTGAGATGATATAGGAACTGATCAGCAGAAAGTAAGANGACTCTCTCATGTGTTGTTTACATTTTCTTACTAGGTACATACAGACAGCAGAATTGTGTAAAAAATAATAGTTCCTGCTATGCATAGGTGCTCAACATTGTCCCACTTAATTGTTTATAATGTTGAATTTTTGTGCTAATTTGTTTTCTGATTCTTCAATTTTATAAAATGCACAAGTAATCTATATGGTGTCAAAAAAAAAAAAGTTACGACCCATNAACTGATCAGCAGAAAGTAAGACATATAGGAACTGATCAGCAGAAAATAAGACAATTATCATGGCCAGACAAAAATACTACAATAAAAGTGCAAAAGAGGGTGGATGAGGCGGGAATCTCTCACTTGAAGGATATAAAAACAGGCCCAGCAGAAACACCCTGATGCAATCATGAGAGCGCCGATGATTGGATGTTGCTGACTTGCAGCTGTTGTAGATTGATCATGGCTTTTCTGTTTGNAACTGATCAGCAGAAAGTAAGACATATAGGAACTGATCAGCAGAAAATAAGACAATTTATCATGGCCAGACAAAAATACTACAATAAAAGTGTAAAAGAGGGTGGATGAGGTGGGAATCTCTCACTTGAAGGATATAAAAACAGGCCCAGCAGAAACACCCTGATGCAATCATGAGAGCGCCGATGATCGGATGTTGCTGACTTGCAGCTGTTGTAGATTGATCATGGCTTTTCTGTTTTNGGATATACACTTTGGATCCGGTATTATTACCGTGAAATAATTCAGGTTTAGATGAATAGTGCATTTATAGTTACATACACCTTAAATAAACTCATCTATTTGGTGGATTTAAATAGTCTAGTTGAGGTATGTTTTGGTAAAAAATATTTTTATCCTCAAGAATTTCTAGGATATAATTATCTTGAAGATTTTTTAGTAATTTAATGTTTATATCATTATTTAATACTATATTTAAACAAAGTATCGGATGAGATAAATGTGGGGTCTACTATTTTTTAATACTTACAACTAAACATGGGATGAAGATGTACTATCANTTGTCCATGGCAATCCAATTGTAGGTCCTTGAATTACCGCCATAATCATTGCTCCTCCGACAGTCACCAGAGTCCCTACTATTTTCGCCTGGCTGTGTACTGTCTTGATATTCATCTGCTCGAGCCTGAAACACCCCCCCTTCTTCCAGTTACTTCTTTGAATGGATGTGTATGTAGTTCTACATTATTTATGCGTATTAATTTATTAATGTAGGTAAACATATAGTTAGTTACCTGAGGATCCAAGCCATTAAAAAAGTTATAGCGGGAAGAATATTGGTCATTGCTGCTGCAAAAGTTGCTGTAGTATACTTCATCCCTGTATAGTACAGGTTCTGGTCGATAACTGGCCTGCACAGGGTTATAGTCAGAAGAACATAATAGTATATATACTGAGGTCTAGATGGTAAAGTTAGGGTTTGAGGTTAAGACATATACTCCAACAAGCCGAGCAGCATAATCTTCAAGAAGATGGAGGTGGTCATTCGTGGCCTTATTGTCCTGTTAAGTAGAAGAATCCCCATTACTTCAAGTCTTAACATGCATACACACATGAACACACACACGTTAGAATTCAGAGAGACCTTTCTAAGACCATAGCAAAAGGAGCAAAGACAACAGCGGCTATGACATTCCGATAGACAGCAAAAGTATAATGGCTCATTCCTTGGTTTAGAGCAAACTTTGCCACTATAGATGTACCAGCATAGCCAAACTGCAAGAAAATTACAGCTAAATATGGCTTTGCTTGGTTAAACATCTGGTTCTTGTCCATTTTATCTCTTGCTTTTCTCTGCTTTTGTGTGTATGAATGTTACTGCAAGAAGCTTGTATGCAGGTAATTAGCAGGCATGACTTGCTTATATATATATAGGGTGTCTGATGGACAACAATTGTCTCAACACGTCTCTGGAACAAGTCTAGGGACCCCACTATGTGTGAGTAAATTGAATCTTCCCATTAAAACCAGTAGCACTTTCCTCATTTAATATCAAAATCCCTTTTTGCTGCTGCTGTCTTGGAAGGGATCACAGAGTCATTGCATTAGGCAAACTTCTTGTGCTAACTACTAAGTGGAGGTTACAGTGGGGTTAGCTTTGTATACTAATATTGAACCATAATTATGCTATTGCTAGCTGGTGTTTGGTTAACCTAATATCAGAATCAAAACCATATTACATTCTAGAATCAGTCTAATTGGTTGTTTTCACATTTGTTTATGCTCTTCTAAAATCCAACTTGCCTGGACAGTGCTTGATTTCGTGCAGGCTTTACAGATTTAACTTCCCCAATTTAAGACGTATTAGGGGTATTTTGGTCATTTTTGTATAATAATCAGGAATATATCTAGGCTTTAGAAATATGTGATATGCATCTTCTGATGTAATGCATGCCTACTGTTTTGGACTCTCTCATGTGTTGTTTACATTTTCTTACTAGGTACATACAGACAGCAGAATTGTGTAAAAAATAATAGTTCCTGCTATGCATAGGTGCTCAACATTGTCCCACTTAATTGTTTATAATGTTGAATTTTTGTGCTAATTTGTTTTCTGATTCTTCAATTTTATAAAATGCACAAGTAATCTATATGGTGTCAAAAAAAAAAAAGTTACGACCCATCGATGTCAAGTTTCAATTCCATAATGTCAAAATTACTAATTGATTTGACAGAGTCACAATTTTTCAAAACAGTACCTTCGATACCCGTATAGTGTAGAGTGTGTTTGATTTAGGTATTAAGAAAGAAGGATTGAAAAAAAATATGTTTGGGCTCACCTTATCCTCTTTATTCCCATATTTGGATATACACTTTGGATCCGGTATTATTACCGTGAAATAATTCAGGTTTAGATGAATAGTGCATTTATAGTTACATACACCTTAAATAAACTCATCTATTTGGTGGATTTAAATAGTCTAGTTGAGGTATGTTTTGGTAAAAAATATTTTTGTCCTCAAGAATTTCTAGGATATAATTATCTTGAAGATTTTTTAGTAATTTAATGTTTATATCATTATTTAATACTATATTTAAACAAAGTATCGGATGAGATAAATGTGGGGTCTACTATTTTTTAATACTTACAACTAAACATGGGATGAAGATGTACTATCACTATAATTAGTCTAAGGTCTGGATGGAGGGATATGAGATGGACAGGTTTATCCAATTCGGTCATTCCTAATGCCTAAACCAAACACATTTTATGGTATATTTGGATCGCGGG